AAAGCTAGACTCCAAGGTCTATTCCCTTATTTGGCCACTGACTTATTCCTGAGTCTGATCACTAAGGTCTAACCTTCAAAACATCAAGGTCCAACAATCAAAATTCATTATTTTGCTAACCTAACTAAAATACCCAACCAGAACTTAGCCAACACATCCTAGCTCATTCTAATGTAGTTCCCTTTCCCCTTCTTAAAATCAACACCTGTAAAGCTATTTGTTGCTATTCCTGCCCGACTCAGACTCAGCCACCTTGTCTCTTTGCCTTGCTGATTAAAGGATCTCTTTGCATTTGGTTTGCACTTTGGAAATTGGTGAAATTGGTGTTTGGGTGTGGTCAGCGTATAATCCAGGATCCAGAGTAGAGCACTCCACAGTAAGAAGATCATTTCACCCACGATTCAGCTGTGAACAAACTGGATGAATGGGAACTGCCATAACAGTGGGAGGACCTGGAACTAAACCAGGAGTAACCAAGAATCTCTAAGAGATGTAAGTTTGTGAGGAGAAGTGAAGAGAACAAAGCCTTCACCCCATGCAGAACTGAATTCTAGCCCCACCTCACCATTCCCTTGCTGTAACTCTTAGGAAGGTGTTTTGGGTGGTGTTATTCTCATATGTTCAAGGAGATCCACACCAGCCATTCTTCTACTCACTGAGCAAAGGTTGATGAAACTGTAACCCATGTCTAACACTGTTCTGAATGCTGTAAAGCCCACAATGAACAGAACAGACAAAAATCCTTGCCCTTGGAAGTTTAAATTCTCAGAAGAGAAATAGACACTAAATAGTGCAATCCTCCCTTGGTAACCACAGGGGCCTGGTTCTAGGATCCTTAATATAGCAATCCCCGGGAAAGCAAGTCTCATGTAAAATGGCCTACTGTATGTATCATCTACACTCTCCAATCTCCTTTAAATCATCTCCAGATTAATTATACTGATTGATAATAATACCTAATAACAATAAGTAGTTGCTATACTGCTTAGGGAATAATGACAAGAAAAATAGAAGATTTCATTTTGTTCTATTTTTTTGTTGCTGTTGTTTTTGTTTTTTTGAGACAGTTTCTCTGTACAATAGCCCTGACTGTCCTGGAACTCACTTTGTAGACAAAGCTGGCTATGAACTCACAGAGCCTCTGCCTCTGAAGTGTTAGAATTAAGGGCATGCACCACCATGCCTGGCTGCTTTGTCTTTTGCTTGTTTGTTTGTTTGTTTGTTTGTTTGTTTTTGAGACAAGGTCTTGCTATGTAACCAGGATGAACTTGAACTCTGGTCTTGTACTCCTAGTGACCTTCCTACCTCAGCCTCTGGAGTAATCAGATTACAGGAACATGGCATCATAAGCAGCTCCCAAATGAGAGGGTTTGTTTTTAAAGTCATTTTTATCATGATAGGTTGGTTGAATCCATGGATGTGGATCCTAGAGATATAAAGCACCAACATGAAAAAAAAAAGATAAAGCAAGGGAGGGGAGTAGGGAATGACTTGACAGGGTGTAAAATGGTGGGAAAGTTTATGTTATGTGGTCAAGGAAGGCCATAGGGGAGTTAGTCATGTGGTTCTTGTAGGGAGAACATTCCGCAACCAGAGCAAAGAGTGAGCACAAAGCCTCTGTTGTGGTTCTGGGCCTGCCTTCAGGAAAGATCAAAGACTCAAGGGCACACAGCTGAAGCAGCAGATACTTGCTCAGCTCTGTGCAAGTGCTCAACAGGGTACAGCTTTTCCTTGTGGCATTTAAAATCATATCAGGGTTCTGGTAGACTCTATGGCCACTTTTCATTTCTTTTCTTCTTTCTTCTTTTCTGAGTGACCACAAGCAAGGCTAAGCCTCAGGTCCCTAACCAGTAGAACTCTGTGCCTCCAATCCCAGAGCAGACAAAGCCAACAGGAATATGTAATGGATGTGGTGGTACAGTCAGGGAGAGAGTGAGTAATGAGTGAGCACTGTTAAAGAATGTCCACAAAATTGTGTACTTCTCTCCACCTTTAGAGTCTCACAAATTAGATGCCTTGGAAATCCGGTGCCCATTTCCAAGATGGACCTTCATCCTGAATGGAGTTAACATCCACTAAACAGCTTCATCTCCTTTAAGATGGGGTACTTAATTAAATTAATTGGCTCTGGTATGGACAGACAGAGCTGAATGGAAAGGGGTAGGCCAAAATATGGCATATTCTCTTCCAAACGGAACCAACCTCCTGTCTCCCAGGATCCTTCCATATACCCATCGAGTCCACCAATCTGCCCCTTAACAAGCCACAGTCTCTCAAATGACCCCCTTTCCTTTATTGACTCTACCCCATGTCCTTCCAAGGACCCAGCTCAAATACCAACCACTTCTCCATGAGGCCTTTCCCATTGCCGCCAAAGCAAAGAATCACCTCCCATGAGCTCTTGCAGAATTCTACACATCACTTGACAGGAGCATCCGTCTCATTTCCTTCCAGTTTTGTGAAGCCTGATGTTTCATGAAATCCTTGTAGCTGAAAACCACTGTTTAACTCGTTTCTTAAAAAATGATGTTTTTATTAATCCTTTAAGAGTTTGATGTCATGTATCTTGAGCATATTCATCCCTCTCTCCAAACTTCCCTCAGGTCCTCTCAACCTCCATGTCCATCCAGCTTCATGTTCACTTCCCAGTTTGTCCAGTTTGTGTTGGTCACCTACTCCTTTGCCCCACCGTGTGGCGGATGCATCCGGTGTCATAGACCATTAAAAAAAAAAACTGACTCTCCTCTCAGAAACAATCAAATGCATGTGCTCCTCAGGTAGGGGTGGCCACCTGCCCTCCTCCATATTGGATTTTAGTCTGGTTTGAGCTTCTAGCGATCGTATGCATGCTGTCATGATCTTTCATTTTTTTAAGGCTTTGGTCCAGTCTATTGGGTTTCTGACTAATGAGAATTAGTCCACACCCAGGAGCATCAGCCTCAGGTGACAGAGCTGGGCAGATCACTGCCACCCGAGGGTCTCACTCCTCTCTATTGTCTTCAGGAACTTCCTGAATAGACATGTATGAAATTGCTGCAACTAAGCTTTCAGAGCAGCATTAGACCCGTTGTTCAGTGTGGGAAGTCTCTGAGACCTCCACAGCCCGAAGAGTGACGATCTGTGGGAGGCAAGAAGGCAGTTGGATTCAGCACGATGTCAGGAGTCTGACCCTGACTGGTTTATTTTAGGTATATTCAAGTACAGCACAATGTGGTGAAAACTTTTCTCCTGATAATTAACTAAGTCCCATGTGCACAGCAACGGGTACATAAGTTTCTTTAAGTAAGCTAAATAAAGATTGAATGTGACTAACACTGAAACTCTTTGTAAAGTGTATGCACCATCTTCCACAAAGATAGGTTCTATAGGTTGTCTGAGACAAATGAGTCTGTGGAAAAGTCCTGGGTAAGAGTCCAGTGTGGTCTCCAGACACATAGCTCAGAGTTTATTAGGCTAGAATGCTTGTCCCTCCCCAGCCTTCTGAGCAGATAACAGGTATAGCATTCCTTCCCTTGAAGGAACAACCATGTGTGCCAACATTTCACATTCCTCTAGTACTTATCTGGGAGCACAAGACCCTCCATGCCTCCAACATCTCCCCATTATTTTTTTTAAAGACAAAGTTGGGACTATAGTAGAGGCTAAGGTTGTATACATTGCCTGCATGACTAGTCTAACTATTATAAAGAAGCATAACAGAATTATAAGAATACTTAGTAGAGGACCAAGGAAAGAGGAAAGCCATCTTAACCAGGATAGGCACTCAAAGGTCACTTGAGAGACTGTGTTTATCTCTTTATGTAGATCATTAATTTGGCCATAACTAGAATGAAAAACATCTATCACATTAGAGCAACACAAACCATGAAATTGTTGACAGCCAAGATTATGACTGAGCAGCAAATAATATATAGTTTTAGCTCTAGTTTGTAAAATTGTGGTTCTCAATTCACCCATTTCTTGTCTAATTTCTACTAATAGTTTGCTGTAATGTTAGTAGTTTTACTAACCATGCAGTCCATTTTTGAAATTTCTCCTTGCATTCTTGTAATAACTCCTGGTACTAGTAATAAAAATCAAAAACAGAAATAAAAAAACATAAAAACAATCCCTATCATGGCAAAACAACATCATACTGTCTCCTATTAGGGCTATGCCTTTCTGACCCCTGACAAAAGGCATTTGGATCCTATACTGACAAGCTAAGAAATAACATGTAATACCGGCAGTAAACATGACATCATCATTTTGGGGTCAGTAGTATTGTGTCCTTGTACTGTTACTAAGGTTTTGACTTGATGAGTTAAAGTCTTACTGTCTCCTCAAGCCAATGCTGTCCTGGCCAGATGCGCTGAACAGGAGCCATCTGGGACTTCATGCATTATCTGGAAAGACTTAAGTATAACTTCACCTGATATTAGAAGAACAATTGATCATTTCCATTGATTAGCATCTAGATATTTTCATTTAACAAAATTTAACATTAGGCTGTGTTTCCTTTAGGGAAAAATGTTTTGAGGCAGCAAAAGCAGCATTATCATTTAAAATGAAAGAAAAAAATCAAAGTTTAAGCATAGCTAAGTGTAACATAGTATGTAATGATTTAGGTGGGTGTATAACTACCCCCCTTTTTTAAAAATGCTATTTAAGTATTTGATGGTGTTGTTTCACAATAGCTTGACCCTGTGGATTTAAAGTAATTTCAGTAACACGATTATTATTCCATAAATTGAAAAATTCCTTAAAGCATTTGCTAGTATAAGCAGGGCCATTATCAATGTTTGATTGGAATGAGAGTCCCGGAAAGGAAAGAGGTATAGTAAACGAATGATGGCATCCAAGATGGTTGCACGCTTGTGAGCAGAAGCAGCAACACTATTAGAAAAAGCATCAACTGTTACATGAAGATACTTTAAACTTCCAAATTCTGAGATATTACTAATACTTGCCAAATGGCATTAATCCTTGAGGATTAATTACGCCAGCAGAGGGCAGTGGGGTGAAAGAGGAGGAAGGGCAGGTTCAAATAGTATGTTGTGCTCGTTCACGAGTTAAGGAGAATTCCTTGTAATGATTTTGCATTTTGATGAAGTTCATGAGATTTTTGAGTGGCCTGTAAAAAAAAAAAAAAAAGCGCTGGGGGCAAGGAGGCCGCAGCACATCAGCTTGAGCATTAGTGGATGCTAACAGACCTGGAAAATTAGAAGGATCGGGATTATGAGTTACAAAAAAAGGTTCGTTATCATATAGATGTCTGAAGGGAAAGAATTAATTGTGGAAAAGAATTAGTAGTGGTCTTGGGCTTTAAGTCTTGTGGTTTCTAAAAGAGAAACCATTTGAGCACAAATGTGGAGTTCGTTACTATGTTTAATGGCTGAGAAACACCCAGTAAAAGCTGAGTGACTGTGGTGAATTCAAAAACTGTGGGTACAGTTTGTGTGTGTGTGTGTGTGTGTGTGTGTAGAATTCAGAATTTGTACATAAAGCATAAGCTCCTGTACCTTTGAAGAGTAAAAGCATTAAAATGGATCTGTATGAGATTTATTAGTTGTGATTTTAGGTAATACTCAAAGAGTATCTTCAAAAATAACTTAAAAGGGAACCTTTAGGATAATGATTATTTATGTATTCTGAGTAACATATTAACACTACCTGCCAATTATTATCAGTGTGGAACAAATAATCACCCTGCCGTTTATTTGATGGCACAGTGATTTCTGTGGTCTCTTTACCAGTAAGCTGTTTAAGACCCCTCCTTCCACCATTAAGTCTATACTTTCTTGTAAGTAAGAAGTTACAGATAATTATAACATACATAATTTCTGTAATACCATCACCCTGTTGTTAGACAATTCCAGTAGGCAAAGATGAGGAAGGAAGGATACATAATTGATAAGGGACTAGTTCTACAAGCTTGCACTTTAGTGGCAGCATTAATTAATAAGCTAATAACTCACTCTGCTTCTGGTGTTAGGTTTCTTACAAAGTTTGCCTGAGAGTCTCTGGAAAGCTACTTAAAGAGCAGAGCCAGATCCATAGTGCTGACAGGCACACAAGGACCCGCCAAACTGATATGGCCCCAACTTAGTTGTTGCTGTTAATTGAGGAAACATTGTTTGGGGGTGTTCTAAGCAGAGAGGATGATGGCAAATTTGTTATTGCATAATTATATCCTAAATAATTGTAAAGTGATTACTTTCTTATTTTATCTGGAACTCTGTTTAAATTTTGCTCTTAGTTTATCTAACACTAAAGTTAAGCTCTCGTTTAAGTATTGATTAGATTAGCAGGAGAGGAGAGACTCATTCATAGACTGAATGGCCAATGCCTTGGAAAATTTAATCGACACCAGATTAAGTGCTTTATGTGCACAGTACTGACACATAGTAGGGCAATTTTCATCCCTGTGGTAAAACTTTTCACTGATATTGGGTCATTGGTTGTTGATTGCTTAGAAACAGAATGTAAAACGTTCCTTATTATCAGGATATAAAGGAGCAGAGGAAAGGTCGTCTTTTAGGAACGGCGAGCACTTGTTGGAGGGCCCCAACTGCTCTCATAGTCACATGTATGTCCCTAAGATCATACAACAGTGGAAATTTATTGTTTGCCTTTTTATGAGTTACAAAAGTGGGGGAATTCCAGGGACCAACTAAAGGTTCAATGTCCTGCTTGTAATTGTTCCTGCACTAGATGTTGGGCCTGTTTTAACTTTTTCCCATGAAGGATTCATTGATTAATCCGTACTGGGTCATCAAAGACCCATTGTACTTCTAAAAGTCTTGTGGATGGCCCCTTGAGCAATGACCACGATTATGGGCATTATACTTTTTTGTATTATGATTATCAGATGAGTCATTGTAGCAACGGTAACCATGGCTTACAGTTGTTGTAATATATCCTATAGATAATATGAGAGTCCTGGGACAATATAAGACTTCACAGTGCTAAAGGAAGAATCTTAGTCCAATTTAAGACATTACTACTTTTTAAAGAATCCTTTGGCCTCCAGCACCTTGTAAAGTGGGGGAGGAGCTGTGGCATTGGCCAGGGGAGGGGGTTGTTCTTGATAATAACAGAACGATCTGTCCCAGTATCAAGCATGCTTCTAAAGGAATAATTTTCCGTGTATAAAGTCAACACAAGATGCCCATCCTCAGATAAAGGTCTTGTCCATAAAGCTAAGGGATTTAATCCCCTTACACTGGTCCCTGTCTTTCTTCCTGAGTAACTGGATACTGTTTTTGAATCGGGTTCATTTTTGAGTGAGTGAATTTCACCCTTGATTCTGGAGTTGAGGATTTTCCCCTTGGGAGTTTAAAGGGATTACCGTTCTTGTCAAATTTGGATTGAAGTTCCTTAACCCAGTGTTTTCCTGGGCTGGATTACTAGATTTTTTTTTTGCACTAAATTTTTCAGTGTCCTTTATTTTTGCATTCAAAGCAAGGTCCCTTTGAAAAGTTTTTTGAATAGCTGCTGCTGTGAGAAGAGCTGCCAGCATCTTGAGTGACTGTTGCCCAAGTGGAAAGCTCACCATGTTTTGCTGGTGCTATGGCAGCTCTACACTCTTTGGTAGCCCCATCAAACTCCAGCTGCCTGATCAGGATATCTACAGCTTCCCCCTGAGTTACTTTCTGGTATAGTGCTCTCCTAACTTGAGTAGGAAATTCAGGCCAAGGCTCATTGACCTTCTATTTTAAAATGACCAGAGGACCCACAGTTTCTCCATGATCAGGAGTAGTTCTCTGGGCTTGCAGTGAATAAAAGTGTGCTTGGTCAAAAACACTGGGCCAAACCATTCATCTGTGTTGGAGTATTACTGTATTAGTCTGCTCCCCCAAAGCATGTCTGAACTAATAGGGACATTATTGCTGTGGTTTCTTTCTGTCTGTTCAACACATCCATCATAATATTTTGCTTTCCACATTAAGTATTGTCCTGGGGCTAAGGAAGCTTTACATACTTGCTTATTGTCCCAAGGAGTAACAATATCCCTGCTTGAATATTACCATATCATATCAGTAAATGGAGCGTGCATGCCATTGGCAGCAACATATTTTCTGAAGTTCTTTAAAAACTCAAAAGTAAATTGGTAATGTTGACACATATTTGGGTCTTGAGGATTTAAAATTACAGACATCAGAGGAGCTGGCATGGTAAGAGGTTCTCTCCAATCATTTTCTGGTTGATTATGTCCCTCGTCTTCTCTGAAAGGGAGGCAGCATAGACAGAATTTCTGAATCAGATTGATGAGAATGAATATTGTTTTACTTGGATAAAAATTTGGGGCATTTGAAGGGGGAGGCAGCGTAAGTATCTAAATCAGTGTCATTAAATGTAGGAGCAGTAGCCCCTTGCTGAGATGTGTCCAGAGGATCTTCCTCTTTATGGTCCTCCTGGAAGAAATCCAAGCAGCACATCACTGCAGTTGAGATCGAAAAATAATTGACAGGGATTTTATCCCTTTTCATGGTCTCTTTTCACATTAGCTCCCTATGTGTCTCCAATTGGCAACATCGATGGGTCCTTGTTCAGGAAACCAAGGATTGAATTTTACGGTCACTTATATGAAGTTTCAGAGCTTTGGCTCTGAATATTTTGCTAACAGACATCTCAATAATTGTATAAAATGCTTTGCTCAGAAGACCGAGAAGAGCCCATGTTATTTCACCCTCTTTTATGGTGGAGACTCCTTGGGTGAGAAGGCTGAACTCCTGCCTTACACTCCCACTCAAAGAAAAATTCTCTTACCTTCTCCAAATTGTGTGGTCTGTGCAACCTCCACATCCAGAGGAGTGATGATCCGTGGGAGGCGAAAGGGAAGTTCTGTTCAACATGACAGTAGCCGGTGTTAGTTCAAACTTTGAGAGTCTGACCCCGAAGTGATTTATTTTAAGCATATTTAAGCACAGTAGAACTTGGTGAAAAATTTCTCGGTGATAATTAGATCAATCCAGGGTTAACAATAAAGCTTACATAAATCTTCTTGAGGAATAAAGTAAGCTAAATGAAGATCAGAAGTGACTACCTCAAAAGTCTTTATAAAGTCCTTGTGATACGTTCATAACGATGGGTTCTATAGATTGACCGAAACAAAACAAAACAAAACAAAACAAAACAAAAATAGACAAGCTTGTGAGAAAGGTCTGATGTGGTCCCCAGCCACATGGCACAAATGGCACCAGGATAGACTGTACATTCGCTCCAGCCTTTTGGGTGGATAACAGGTACAACATTCCTTCCCTCGAAGGAACAACCCCGTATGCTAACATTTCAGGCTTTCCAAGTGCTTATCTGTGAATAAGACCTCTGTGCTGCCTACAATTTTCTATGGCACTTAGAACTGAAATCGATGTTTTTGACTGATTTTTTCTATGAATCTATCTGTTAAAATAGAAAATAAGACAAAACAAAATAGATTTTTAAAATCTGCTTCCTAGGAATAGGAGGAAGAGGATAGACAATGTTTTCTGGTATTTTTAAAGCAATGCTTCAGCAAATCTTAGAATCTCAGGGTTACAAAGAACAGTGAAATCATATGGGATTCCAGTTATGCAATATGGAAGCAGTGGAAATGTATAATTTTGTTAGATTCCTAGATTCCTGCGTATGGTGGTCTGTGTGAGAGTGGTCTCCATAGACTCATGTATTTGAACGCTTGATCCCTACTTGGTGAAGCTGTTTGGAAAGGATCAGAAGATGCGGTCTGGTTGGAGAAGGTTTGTCACTGGGGGTGAAAGTTGAGATTTCTAAAGCCCAAACCATATTTCCATATTTCCCCATTTCTAGCTTGTTCTCTCTCTCTCTCTCTCTCTCTCTCTCTCTCTCTCTCTCTCTCTCTCTCTCTCTCCCTCTCCCTCCCTCCCTCCCTCCCTCCCTCTCCCTCCCTCCCTCCCTCCCTCCCTCC